ATAGTATTTACAAATAAAAAAAAAAAAAAAGTAAAAGGATACACGCGGAATTGCGCGAGAAAATTCGATCTAACGAAATTTTTTTTTTTGATGCATTATTTATGATCGCCAGTGTATAAGTAATATCCTCATGCCTGGTAATAGCAAGTCTTTATTTTTAATTTGCTTATTATTATAGATTAATACCTATATCATATCTTTTAGGACAGGAAAGCAAAGAAGATGAAAAAACAAGAAAAATAAATCATGGGGGTGTGCTTACCACGGTGATGATGAATATCTTTTTTATTTAGGAAGTGGTAGGCCGTATAAGATAGTATTTTATACGTAATTAACTTAGGTACCAACTTTTAAAATTAAAAGTTATATTTTTAAAACGAATATACAGAATTTTAATAATTATAAACTATTTTAAGGATTGCGTGCCATCTACCTAATGATTTGGAAGACAATCTACGTTGGATTTAGATCGCAAGGCGGATCAGTCGAAGTGAACTTCGCCAACGAAAGATTTAAATATTCCGGTAAATTTATTCAAAGGGTTTAATCGTTTTTGGCATATATCTCTTTTGTTGCTAACAATGCTTCTTCACCTTTGGCATTCCAGTTCGGTATATTTTTTTCGCTATTGGTGGTGTTAACTAGTTCTCTTTGTATGGTGGTTGGCAGGGTTGGGCAATCTATATATCCAATGCTTTTTTACTGGACACTGAACATTTCCGAATTGTCCAGTGTATGACCATTGCATGTCCAGTGTCCAGTAATATAGTTGTAATAATGTTATAAAATATTGTTAATAAATTACTGTAACCCCAGATGATTATCTATCACAAAAGTAATCCGAAAATTCTAATGCTGTTATAAATCAATCTAATTTTTTTTTTTTAAGTTACAATGATTTGAAGGTTCATTTACCGAAAGCTATTTCTTCGACAGGACACTTACCCGACATTACAGAGTTAGAGTTAAGGTTAGTATTTGATTAGTTACAGCTATATAATTTTAGCAGATTGTCACCCTGTGTGATGTCGGATAAGTGGCCTATTGGGAAATAACCTTCGGGGAATCGTACCGTAACTTAATTTGAAAGCAGGTGGATTTTGTTTAATTTATATTGTAATTTTCAGTAAATAGTACCCTGGTCTCTTAAATTCTAAATCTTAAAAATTGATTAGCACCCTCTCGAACTTGTAATTTACTATTTAATTTGACTAAATTAATGTTGGGCGGTGTCACGGAAATTTTGTCTAGTCCGTTGCTCTATAATTAGTAGATCATTACTACATTATTAACATCGGATTATGATTACATTTCCGGGTAACAATTACTACATTCCGGCGTAGTGAATTAGCATTACCACATTATTTGTAAATAGTTGTATGTCTTACCTCATTCTTGGTAATCGCTAGATATATATAAAAGGATCGTTGTATGTAAAGAGAAGAGTTAAGTTTTAAACACACATAGCTCATATATATAATAAACTTATAATATTTTCTCTTCCAACAACATAAAATTTACATTCTTTTAATATCCTAATGTTCACGGCTTAAAGCTAAATTGGCTATGAAGTACATAAGTCTTTCCCTAAGCCATAACATTTTTGGTGCTAGTTGTGTGGAATGATTGTTTTTCTCTGCATCTTCATATATTTAAAGGTGTTAATAAAGCTTAAATTATGTGGAAAAGGATGTTGGATTAGATGAATAAAGGTGAAACAGATAAAGAAAACAGAAGTTTTTATAATAACTATAACGGTTTAATTGTTAAGAATCAACCCAACAATTTGCAACAACTACTTCAAGGTATGATTAACGTATTGGCCCAATCGCAAGAATCTCAGATAGATTTTGAGGAACAAATCTTCATGAAGATCCTGATATATGCAGGAGAAAATCAAGACCTGGTTGGATGGCTAGAATTAGCTAACAGCAGTTTTGAGGCGAACAATATTGTAGGCGCAAAAAAGCTGGCTATTGCGAATGCCAGTTTGATGGGTCTTGCTGCGTTTTGGTGAGAAGATCAAAGAATAGTGGAACCAAGGATTCTGTACTAGAATAATGGGTGTGATCAGAACCGAAGTTTCGTATACTAGTTCCTGTTAAATTTTTGTACCCTGGCTATAGTAGCCTAGTGAAATACAGAGTTGTTTGTTCATAGACAAAATGTCTTAAAAATGGTAAATCAGTACGCTGCCGATATGTTGGCATTGTTTTATTGTATGTCAAGGGCTAGAAATTTGTACCCTAACATGGTGAAAACATAAATATTCGTGCAAGGTCTCTGTCCCAATTTGTCGTTGTCAGTTCAGCCATTTATGTCAAGTATCCTTTGGGAGGCTATAGAAAGGGCCCGGATATGTGAATCAATAATCTTGCACAATTTGGTTGTGCATGGTCTGGCTACAATTTGTAATTCAGAATCGAGTATAGTGGTTGCCCCTTCACAGTTGCCTCAAGTAGTATTTTTTTTGACACTACAGGTGATAACCCATGTGCTCCCAACAACAAAGAACTCTATGAAACAAGTGGTTTCTTTACTGCAAAAGGTTGTTTTCGCTGTGGTAAGCAGGACCAACCCAGACACCAATGTTTAGGTTAGTATTGATGCTAAAAACGATGTAGCAATGTGTTATATAAATATGGATAAAAGTAAGAAGTGAGAAAACGAAGCTCATCAATTCTCTAGTAATAGCAAACCCAAACAATAAAGTTCAGAAGAAGACCTTAATAAAAGAAAGACAAAAGCCAAAGAACAAAAAACCTAAAGACAATGAATTTGAGGATCTGAATAAAAGAGTAAATGTTCGTCAAAATGATAAATAATGAAAAAAAAAAAGTATAAAAAGGATATACAGTATAACCTGTCAAAACCGATACTGCCAAAACCAATAACCTGTCAAAACTGATAAAAAATTGATCCACCATCTCTTAATTGAACATAGTAATTTTACCCTTCAAACCTGATAACCTGTCAAAATTGATACAAATTCGGTCCACCATGCACATCGGATTTGACAGGGTATACTGCATCTAGTATTTGTGAAATAATAGATGATCTAGAAGATCTATTAAGTGATGTTTGAAACTTATTCAATTCAGAACATGGCTATAAAAATAGAATCAGTATTAGAAAAGATGGATATAAAACAGTCAATAATAATGACAAGTTGGTATCTACTCTCTCCGTCAATTTTTATTGTTACTAGAATGAAACTGGTATTAAAAAGAAAGAACGAAAGGTATTCGATGACTATCAAAGGTCTGAGAAAATGAGTTGTGTTTATAAAGTATGTGATCTTGGCAATTATTATCGAAATGGAATAAAAATTTAAAAGGATAAACACCAAATATTCATTGAGTATCAAAATTCAACAAATAAAAATTGTACCGGTTGAATCGAAGGAAAGAATAATTCAAGAGTGAAAGGTGTTAATAGAAAAGTAGCCAAAGAAGAACAACAAGATAATAATGAAGATAATTCAATGGTGTTTGACCGAGGGAAGGTAGCTAAATTACATGGTGAAAGGAATGAAAATCAGGTATTTGTTAATAATCAAAAATCAGCAGAAACAGGCTATGCTGAAGAAATTAAGCTTTGTTATAGCTACCAAAACAAAATTGAAATTGAAAAGCATAAACCTAAAGCATTCGATAATTATCAAAAGCCTGCAGACATAGGTCAAGCTGGTACAACATGGGATCTAAAGTGTTGTAATCATAGTAATATTAACCTAAGTGAGAATGAAAAGAAAGTAACTCGCTATCTGAGTACAAGCCAAGTCAATAAGATTAATAAACTTAGGCATCTTTATGAAACCGGAATAATGATTAAAAAAGGTGAAGGATGTAGATATTATAAGAAAAAGGAAAATATTTAGAGTGGTTTAAAGGATCTATTAAACAAAGTAAAGAAAAGAGGTAAAGTACTAATCAAAAGTAATAGAAGCTTGAAAGCCGCCTGTGTAATGTGGAAGACCAAAGTCGATTACTTAAGGCCCAAATGAATGAATTTGAACCCAAAAAAGGACTAAAGAATGAAGGTAGTGAAAGTGAAAATTTTGATGATACAAGTAGATTATGGATGTTGAAAGAAAAAAATATCAGTAGTGTAAAGTTAGTGGAAAAACATAGTTTGAACAATAATGATCTCCAAGAAATGTGCAGTGCTTGGAAGAATAAGGTTGCATGAATCAAGGATCCACCAAGCTTAAAGAAACATGTTGGTAGAGACAACAATAATATGGGAATGGTAAAATATAAGGATAGTAGTAACATCCCAACGAAAAAGTGAAGATTAAAGTTAATAAAACATGGATGAATGGACGAAAGAGTATAGTTAAGTTGTGGGTATACTTTGCAATGACAATAAAGTTATATATAATGAATAGTGAAATACAAAGTGTTAAAAAGAATAGCATTTTTGATTTGGTGAAATGTCCACTTAAGAAAAATAATTCAAGTAATTATGAAAAAAATATATTTTGTAGTAGTCATGCGATTGTAAAAAAAAAAAAAAAGAATAAATAGTAATTCGCAAAGCTCATTGCTAAGAGAGGGAAAATGTTGCAGAAATTTTGTCTAGTATATTAATTTAGTCCATAATTAGTATTTCTTTCATTACCCCATTGCTTTATAATTAGTAGATCATTACTACATTATTAACATTGGATTATAATTACATTTCCGGGTAATGATTACTATATTTTAGCATAGTGAATTAGCATTACTACATTATTTGTAAATAGTCATATATCTTATCTTATTCTTAGTAATCGCTAGATGTATATAAAAGGATCATTATATATAAAGAGAAGAGTTAATCTTTTTCGAATCTTTAATAAGCTTTAAACGCACATAGCTCATGTATATAATAAACTTATAATATTTGCTCTCCTAACAACAAAAAACTTACATTCTTTTAATACCTTAATATTCATGGCTTAAAGCTAAATTGGCTACGAAGTACATAAGTCTCTCTCTGAGCTGTGATAGTAGGCACTTTAACAAGAGGATACTATTGGCCGAAAATTAAGGTATTGTCTAGTGTCTATTTTTCTTTATCCATTGCTTTTTACTAAACAGTTTAAACACTGGACCAGACAGATTTCTGATTGTCTAATTGTCCACTTGGTTGGTGTCTGAATTTCATTTTAGATACTGTACATATTTGATTTTTTTTTGCAATCTTTCATTTTTTTGTATATAATAAAAATAATTATTCAAATATATAAAAAGAATCAACAGATTTATTATCTTTGAAAACACAGGTCGAAAGATAAAAAATCAGGCACAAATCAGGTACCCGATTTTAAACTGATTACCACCTGATTACCACCTGATTTATGCAT